CGGTAGTCTGGCGCTCCGTTGACAACGGATTTGAACGGAACTTGGCGCCAGATTCTACCGAATCTGTGGATAAATATAAATTAATAATAGTGTAAATAAAAAAAATGTATTTTATTTTAAAAAAAGCGTGGGGTGCTTTTTAAGATATTATCAAAATGATAATCACTCTACTCATATCTGTCAATAAAATATTTATAACTATTGACACCATGCACCTCACGCTTTTTTTAAAATAAAATACATATTTTTTATTTACACTTTTATTAATTTATATTTATTGAAATTTTTAATACTTTTCTTAATTTAAATTTATTAAAATTTATTTTCTATTTTTTAGTTTGGTTTTCTATAAAAAGCGTGTTTTTAGTTTTTTTAAACTATTATTTATTTAATTTTGACTCAGGTATTCATTGACATTTAATTTTTTTGAGCAATTGCTTACGAAGAAATATTAAAAATGCAGAATATATTTTTTATTCATCATATTAACGGTTTCTATTATAAAAAGTTATTATTAATATATAAACTTTTTTTAACAAAATTATAATTTTTTTAAATAATTTCAGTCTCAAACTGTTGGAATAATTTGTGCCATTACCACATTAATATAAATTGTATAATTATTGAATTTGTACAAATACCGTAAAAATACAATTGTTTCTGTGAATTTCAGCTTGTCAACAGGTTAAATTTGGCGTGCAGGCAATTTTCGGTCCATCGGACCCCATACTTGGTCAGCATATACATAGCATCTGTGATGCACTGGACATTCCACATTTGGAGGTCAGGTTGGATTTGGATTCGGAGGCGAAAGAATTTAGTATAAATCTACATCCCGCACAAAATCTACTCAATACTGCTTACCAAGATGTTATGAAGTTTCTTAACTGGACAAAAGTAGCTATTATCTATGAAGAAGATTCCGGTAATTGTATCCTTTAAGTTATTTAATTTAAACTAATTCCTATTTCGTCTGGTGGAGCCATTCCTCGATGAGTCGTGTGGTTGAATAACTTACGGTAACTAAACTTTTACTTTTATTTTGGATAGATAAAAGCCTAAAACTCGACGGAATATAACTTTTATATTAATTTAATTTTCCATTATATAATAATTAGAATTAACCTAAATTAGTCGTCGGTCGTTAACTCAAAATATAATTTATTAGTTAAATTTTCCCGGGTGTCGACTTTTACTAATCGGATTAACTTCGTATTTTACTAATTGTTTCTTCGCCACCACACAAACTTTTCTCGCTCTACTCGAGATCTCGTTCCTTCGGTACTTTCTTGGCATTATTTCAATCCTATCGATCGGATTTATGAATAGACGACAAAACTTTTCTGTTTTTTTTTTTTCTATCACTAACTCAAAACAAATAACCATATAAAATATATATATATATATATATATATATATATATATATATATATATATATATATAATAATTAATCAAAATAATTTAACCAGAAAATCAATTAATTCGAGCAGCTTTGTAAAAATAAACAACAAAAATGACGTAACTTTAGCTTTTCAATTTATGCTAAATTATTCCAGTAAACTCATCCAATTTTATCAAGAAGCAAAAGCTTGTTATTGGTATGTACAAAAAATTATCCGTATTATTTGAAAACTAATATTATTCGCGTTTTGCGATCGTAGCTCTCCACTCAAAGCTATATCTATAATTTTTAATGTATATTTGCTTCGAAAACATTCATTCTGTTTCCACTAACAATGCGTACTGGGCTAACAAAGGAAAAATAATAAAACAGATAAATACTTCTTTCCGTTGATATATATCATAATAGCTTTAATTAGTATAAAAAATAAACAAACGAACGAACATGCGAAAAATAATTAAATAACATATTTTCGTATATAGACGAAGACTATAGTCTTCCAATAATGGAACCCGAAAGAAAGACAAATTTTATTAAGCTTGAATTTTATATTGTAATTTTTCGAATCCCGGACATATATGAAAAAGAAAATATGTTCATTAACAATAACACAAATTTGTGAATTAATATATCTTAAATCTTGAACCGGAATGACTTTTACTGCAACATAATTTTATTCTTCGTTTTTTTTTTTTTAATATATAATTTTTATTGTGTAAAATTTTCAAAAAACTTGAATCTATTTTTGATTGTATTAATAAAAAGAGTTTAATGTTCGTTTAATCAACAGACTTGGTTTTCAAGTACATCCACTAATGAATGTTATTGATTCAAAATGATTTTATTGGCTGGTAGAAAAGTTCCAAGACGAAACACAATAATACCAATCTGTGAAAACTCTTGTATAGAAAAGCTGTTGAAAACATGAAAAAAAATTTATCAAAGAATAATTAAAATAATTTTAAAAAAGTTATATTGTACTCTATTGATTAACTTTTTAGCCACATCCTTTCAAACCCCGTTGATCAGAGTGAAAAATTTCTTCAAAATTCTGGAACTTGTTATCTATTCGAAACACGAATATACGTCTTTTTTCTTTATTACTATTTTTAAGCTTAGCCATGCATATACAGGTGTGTGTACGTGTGTGTGTTTAAATTTCATACTGCAAACATACGAAAATCATGCACGTTTGAACATAACGTAAATCAACTGATGAAAATAGTAAATTTCATTTACGTATCCCAAAAGCATAATAAACGGGTACATTATTATATAGATAAAGCGTCATTTCATTACACCAAACTTACGATAACCGTTTGCTACCTTGATAACTACATTTCATACCTAATATAACTTATCAGTTAATCCTACATAATTCCCTCATTTACTCTCGAGAATTCAGACTTTAAAATGAATATTCAAAGTAGCTAGAATAAATATTGAAAAGAGCAATGAGTGTAATGGGCACACACACATGTATACAAATAAATTTTTTTTTTTTTCTTAATTTGTTTAAAGTCGCATAAACTACTAAGGTCATGAGCGACTACGGTAGGGGGTAAACTTTTGAGATTGGAACTCGTTTTATTTCTTGGGCTGAGCAGTATAATACACTTAAATATTGAAAATATTCATTGGTGTACGCCGGACTCGAACCCGGTCCAATGCTTTGGTAAGCAAGGGCCGGATCCGATAGGCTACTGCGCGCCTTAAATAAATTTTATTCAAATGAATTTACTACATTTTCCCATGTTCTACTTAAAAAAAAACTCACTAAATTTGGTGATTCTTGTAATTAAAAAAGTAACGAGTAAATCACAAATTTTCATAGAAACTTTTCAGATTTTATTTAATAAAAAATAACTGCTCCGTTTTAATGAGCTCTTTAAATGACGAATATAATAAATCATAAAAAATCTATTTGAAATACCGAGGGACGCTCCATTTGCAAACTCAATAAAATTATTATGTTGCAAACTTTATATAAGTATACTTATAAATTTATAAATTTATAAATTTACGAACGTACGTGTATACTTTAACTTCACCATGTATATACAATATACATCCTCAATGTGTTTGTGTGGACAAAGATGAGAAATGATGGTGATGGAAATCCACAAGGTTTGCCAGGATGATTCGATTTATTTATTTGAGCCTCCGATCGCGGTTGAGTAACGCACGTAGGTGTACGCATACATAATCTCGGCCAATGTTTGCTCGAGTCGATCCGAAGCCTCTACTCAAGATTTCTTGCTTCGAAGCGTCAGTCACTCATCCATGTAGATATCCTAGAGAACATCATACTGAATTACATGATACAGTTTCCAGCTATAAATACATTTTGATCCATACATTACCTGTAGGAAAAAATTTATTTTACATACTGAGAGAAAGAAAAATTATTGTCCACAAAGGATTTGTTGGCTCAAGAATTTATTGGAATAAACCGTTTAAATGTATTAGTTTGTTGTTAAATGAATATCAATATCTGTCTTCATTGTGATAAATGGACATCTATGTACGAATAGCTTTATTCGATCTATTTTGATCAATCGACCAATTTTTGAAACAATGAAATATATTCTCCATAATTATCAAGAATACATGCAAGAACATGTATTCTTGTGTCAAGAACATTTTATTAATGTTAGCTCACTCGCAAGATATAGTTTGTGCTAATATACATTACTTTCGCTTTCACTCGGTGGTGATGACTTTCTCAAGGACTATCTCTAATTCGCTTTTACTTTTGATCATTTTTGTTTACTTAGCTAGTTTCTAAATTTTTACGGTTATCAGTTCTCAACCAATCTTTATAAAATTTTGTTGGCTTATTTTATGAATTAATACGGAGATCAAGTTTGAAGATAAGTAAAGATTGGCCAGTTAGTTGCGGAGTAGTGGTTGTTTGAAAATTTTTTAGTTTCGTCAATTTTATTGAAATAGTATTTCTACCGTCTAATATAGTTCAAATGTATTGATTTTATCCCAAAGTTCACTTAATTATCTTTAATTTATGCTATCATTTGTCCCCTTTTGGTGATTTTTTTCTATTTATTTTGTGACTCGAAAAATTTTAAAAAATTCATCAATAAACATGTTTTTAGCTTTTATCGCCTTAAAATTTGATAGCCGTATGAGATAGCTAAAATATATCAAATAAATCGTCAAATTTATACAATTATATTTAATTGAAACTGTAATTCGTTGACTTTTGAACTTTTTTTAATTTTTTCATTGGCTTTGAAAATTTAAGAAATACACTGAAAAAAAAGTTTTCTGCTCCGCACGATACGAGATCGCTACTATCACGATCTACACTTTACCATCTAGAGGAGAGTGAGGTTAGGAAAACGGTATACTACGGTAGCTATACGTTTCGTGAATGGCACCGAATAGATCGTGACGGTTACAATTCAGACTACTACTCATAGCTGTACGAATTGTACCCGTAACGATACACCTTTTACCATACAGTAGATGGCGCCAAGCAGAAAACTTTTTTTTCAGTGTATTATTATCCTATATTCGTCAAATAAATCCATATGTCAGGCTTGGCCGAATGGCGCTTTCTTAAAATAATATTGAAATCTCATCAATTAATGTCGAATCAATAGAAGATTTAACTTTCTCACTCTTTTATCATGCTACACAAGAATGTTATTTTGAATTACAATTATTTTACGCTCGGTACAGTCAATTGATTTCAAATTTTAACAGCGTAATAAAGTAGGGGACGGACGGGCAAGACGGAGAGGGCGGGTAAAATGAATAATCGTTTTAAATCGCGGGTCGGTCTATAGAAACATTTTAGACTGCAATCTATCAATCTATTATGTAACTACACTTACCGTTATCGATAAAGCATTGGTTTTGCATACTTGTGGGAATTTTTTTTATAAATATTGAAATTTAGGAAAAAAAATAAAATTTTAAATCGTAAGGCAAAACGGATAATGTTGACTTTTTTTTTTTTTTTTATTTCGAAGAAGAATTTCTTTGTTATTATTTTTATTTCACTTTAATTATAAACTTCAATTACCCAAAAAATTATTAGACAAAGTTAAGAATGGATATTATTATAATATATATTTGTTATTTCATTTTTAAATTAGCATATCCGTTTTGCCCGTCCTTCCCTTATGTATTATGTTTCTATTACGTTTATCTCAAATCATCATAAGATTTTTTTGAATTTGCATTTGTGAGTGAACTACTTTAATAGAAGGATTTTTTTTTCTGATTGCAAGTTTTTCGAAATCTGCATTTTCAGCGTCAATCTGTCTAATTCTAACTGACGAATCAATTTAAGCTTGAAAAATATTTTAAGTTTAATAAATTTTTTTTGAGATCAAGAATAATTTATTTTAGGTAATTTAATTTCTTTTTGCAATGATTAAGGGGTATAATTCGATAAACCATACCGAATTATTAATCAAATAGTCATTCAGAGTAATTATATCGAGTAAATGGATCGCTGTGTGACTGCAGTAGTATTGTACCTAGTTTCCAAGCAAGCTGAACAACCAATAATTTTTTTTCTCTTCTATCTTTTTATCTGACACAGTTTTTTCCCAAGCCAAATGGACAATTCAGCCAATTATCTCAGAAGTCCTGCTTAGCTCGAAAATTCTGGTCTAGCTGAATTTATCGAATTTCCTTAGTTACGTATGTTTGCTTTTATTTACCATCGCGTCTTGAAGAGGAATTCGACAAAGTTCCGCGTCTTTAAAAACTTTCTTCTTATTTCATTAATTTCTATTTCTTCGGATTATTATAATCACTCAAAACAGTGATCCTTATCTAAAAGTATAGAAAAGTCAAGTTCAAGTGATTATTGAGTTAAGAACCAATATGTCACATTTTTTCAGCGTTTCAATGAACATTGGACGATGAATTAAGCGTTGATGTAAATCAACAGTTCCCAATCGATCTATTGAAGCAACTGCTATAATATGAATGTCACGGGTGACATGAGATGATGATAACTAGCCAGAAATTTCGGAAACATCTATATTTAGGAATTGTTAGAGACAGAAAGGCAATTCTCTAATTAGTAATCATGAAACTATATTATGTGAAACAATACATTTCGTTAATGAAATAGAATTTAATTTCTGAGTTAACTCGTGTGCAAATTTTCTTCATATTCATTCATGTTGTGTGACTTTAATTCAATCAAAAATCCAACACAAACTATTTCAATAAAGAAACTTAGCAGCTTATATTTATTCGACTGTAAAACCTTTGCATACATGCAAAAAGTTTGATTTCACTAGTTTTTTTTTTCGTAATTTATTTAAATTTTGTTTAATTTTATATTTATGATATTTAAAAATTTTATTCATTTAATAATTTTTTATCCTTTAGAAAAAGTATAATGTATTTTTGACAGTAAAATTCTTTTGATAAATTTAATAAATCTACCAATAAATTATTCTAAAAAACTTTAATTTTCAACGAAATAGTTGAATGGATATTTATCAAATTGAGTGAATTCTGTGTAGAATCAAAAATAAATTTTTCCCACTTACTCCTTTATACATGTACACGGTGAGAAATTTCCAATGAATTTTACTATGGGCGCATAGTAACACTGAACTATAAGAAAACTGGTACAAAATTTACAAGTTCCCATAGTAAACGGTATGCGCAGACTACACAATCGTGTTTCTGCGCATACTGTTTACTATGGGAACTTGTAAATTTTGTACCAGTTTTCTTATAGTTCAGTGTTACTATGCGCCCATAGTAAAATTCATTGGAAATTTCTCACCGTGTAGCATTCGCATCCTGAACCGAAACGCCAGGCATCAAAGTATCAACTTTTACTTTGGTTTTTTTAATACTTTTAATGCATTCATCAACATGCTTCAAGCTATTGAACTTGACGCAAACACTGCGATGGCTCCTGTTATTCTTCCTACCTAAACGTTCCACGCTGACAATCTCATTTTCAGTAACTGGTATTTTCAAAGCCTGTGTTAATCGTACTACGACGTCGGGAAGCTTTTCTCCATCCAATTCAGGAAGACCAGTAATCGTTAACTCATCTACAAGTGAACGTGATTCCATCTGCAGCATTCTAGCCTCCAAATCACCATCAGCAATATTTTTCGCAATAGCTCTAGCTTCTTCCAAAAGATTATTACCACCATCAGGTTGAGTTTCCTCAATTTTAGAAACCCTAGCCTCCAAATCCTTGACATTTTTCTGCAACATATCATAATTAGAGATCAGTTTGTCAACCTTGTCATTGACTGACTTCATAGTTTCATCAAACTTGTCCAACTTTTTTCCGAACTTAGCCACATTCTTATCTACTCCATCTATTTTGCTTAACTTCTCAGAAATTTCCTTTAATATCGGTGACACATCATTATAACTATTATAATCTTGGATTATGCACATTATAATCTGGGGTTATAACCATTATAATCTGGGATTATAATCATTATAATCTGGGATTGAAATGGTGTCGAAATCGCAAACAAAATGGCGGCGAAATGGCAAACAAAATGGCGGCAAAATTGTAAACAAAACGGCGGCAAAATTGTAAACAAAATGGCGACAAAATAGTAAACAAAATGGCGGCAAAATAGTAAACAAAATGGCAAACAAAATGGCGGCGAAATGGTAAACAAAATGGCGGCAAAATTGTAAACAAAACGGCGGCAAAATTGTAAACAAAATGTTTTTCCACCCCGATGTCCGCTTTACTGTTTGAAACTATAAAAATTAACCGGAATCCGAGTGAATATTACAGTTTACTTTTTTCCGTGCATCCAGATATTTGCTTTTCATAAAAATGATCACAACGGTGTTTACGATCAATCATTAATACTTTTTACATTATCATTTATCATAAACAAAAAATTACATAGTTTTTTGTACTGCACATTTGTAAAGAAAAAATATTCATTAACTTTCGATAGAACTTTCTTCTATTTAATTCACTGAGTTTAGAAATTAATATTTAAGAAAAAAAAAATTTTTAAAAATCATTTAAAATCGAAGGATTGACATTAAAAAATTTTTTTTAAATATGTAATGGCTTGAAAAAAATTTAATTGTAAAAATTTTAAGCAAAAATGAGTATTCTCGAAGTTCATAAATTAAATTTACTTCAAAAAAATTTTTGATGGCCAAAAATAGGTAGAGTCGCAATTCTAAACAACTATTTTTGTGCTTTTAATTAAAGACTTTTTTGAATAACGTTAAAAATAATAACTGATAAATTTTTAAATAATAGACCTGAAAATAATAAAGAACCCCTGAGATTTTATCTATCAATTTAAAACAGTAGCAATAAAAGATAACAGAAACAATTTTATATCTGTTGTTTAAAAATATTTTGACGTAAACTCATTGTCGTTTCAGAATTAAACTTTATATAAGTTATTTAAGTGGAGAGTTTCTCGTAAAGTGGAGACAGAAATACCAATTCGCGGCATCGTTGAAACGTTGATAGGAAATCTTGAGTTCAATCGATTGAAGTCTAAAAAATAGGACAACAGCTGATTAAAAAATTAAAAAGCCAATCTCATCTAAAAAATGAAAGCAGACAAATACATTTTTTTAATGCATATGAATAAAAATAAAAGGACAAAAGTTAAATTTTAAAGTTAGGTAGTGTAGAAACGAAGACCTGCAAGTCGAGATGATACCTTGATTATTTAGGCACCAATGCGCCGACGTATCGATTTCATTGGAACCCGCGCTGTTAACGGGTTTCTTTAACGATCTCTTCAGTTTACTATTCTTCCGAATAGAACCTTTATACGATAATAGTGACGAGCAATAAAAACTTTTTTCGATGCTTATTGCTCAACTGGACGAAATACAATTTAACAAGTTTCCTTTTTTTTAACACCATTTTTTTTTATCTTTTTCTATTTCAGGCTTAATGAAGTTACGAGAGTTGGTGAAATCACCAAAGTTTCTAGAACTTGAAGTATATATGAGACAAACTGATCCTAATTCGTATAAGGATGTCTTGGCCGATATCAAAACCAAAGAAATTCACAATTTCATTATTGACACTAAGCCAGAACATATGCATCACTTCTTACGAACGGTACCTTTTTTTTCAGTATATATAATAAAGAAAAATCTTTTTTTTTTAAATCGTCAATTAAAAAAACAGCTTTTCTAGTAAACTGTAAAAATTGACGAGTAAATTTTACGACAAAATTTTTGTCCCTCTGAATTACCGATACAAAGTTCGAAAAAAATCGCTCCACATAAAAAAAAATAAAACTAAAGTTTCTAAGTTTCTATTGGGTTACTGCTAAGCATGTAAAGATATAAAACTTCTTTTATAGTTTTGAAATCAAATATTTCGCAAACGGCAATAACCTTTGTGAAATAGCAATAAAATGAGACATAACCTTAAAAAAATAGCTGCCTATTCCAATTGACGGGTAGGGTCTTTTATTTGTGACAGCTCATTTATACAGGAAGACCCTGGATGATGTGAGACAACATTATTAATCGAGCGAAAAACATTTTTCTTATTCGATATTTATTTAGGGTTTTCATGGAAAAATAAGATCATTTGATGGCTTTAGACAACGTAACTACTTTTCAATTATCAAAACTTCTTTTAATCCTCTATTTAGTTCTCTTCAATTGACAAAAATAAAATAACGCTGAAACAAAATTTTTGTTCAATTCGAGGCGTAGATATCTAATTAGATAGTCAGCTTATCTCTATTATTGATAAACATAATCAATCACAAATAAATTATTATCTCTTTGAACCCGTGAAAAATTCTAATAATTTTGTGAAACAATTTTAAATATTTTCTTATTCCTTCTTTTCCAAGTTTCAAATGAGTATTTTCTAGGATCGCGATTTTAAAACGTTCCTCAACTTTAAAAGTACCAAAAATAATATTTTGTAAAAAAATTAATCCATTAAATGTCTCTAGACATTTATAACAAAAATGTGCAATTTATATAGAGTGCCTTACTGTTTCATTTGTTGAAAATTTTTTTGATAAAAACTGAAATTTTTGTTTTTATGATAAAAAATTTAAATTCAAATTCAAATATTTCTGATAACAAAATAAATCCAAGAATAAATTGAATTAACACCCAATAAAAAAAAGTGAAAATTCTGCTAGTATACTGTAAATATCATTCGTTATATTATTTAGAATTTCGATTAAAATATTCACATAAAAAAAAAATTCTGACAATAAAATCAATCTGTTATTGATACAAAAATCGAATCACAGCGATGCATACACCGTATAACAATGATGGAAATTTTATTTTTAAAAATACAAAAAGTAATACTTTTCAGAATGAAGCAATGTTTTTACAGTATAAGATTTATATCCTGATATTTATTTTCTAGATACTACAACTACAAATGAATGATTATAAATACCATTACCTTTTTACCACTTTTGTAAGTAATAAAAAATGAAATCAATAAGTTAAAAAAATTTTTTTTAACAAAAAGTTAATATTTCATTGCAGGATATTGAAACCTTCGATCTAGAAGACTTCAAGTACAATTACGTTAATATCACTGCCTTTCGATTAGTCGACGCGGACGACGCAGCAGTTCGAGGAATTCTACGCGACATGGAACGCTTTCAGCCATCTGGAAATACAATCCTCAATAAATCACACGTTATTCAGGTGAACTTACCATAAACTATCATTTTAATTTATCAAACTGTTAATGATAATTGAGATTAAGCCTATTTTAATTCTTCGTACGCAGATAGTTATCCAAGTATTTCAAATAATACTATTCACTAATTTAAATTTATGCTAAACAACTAGTAGCATTTATTGCCAATTAAAACCGCATGGGTTTAATAAATTAAAATTTTCAACGCTCCGTTGAAATGCTCACTGAGTAAACACAATGAACAACGTGTGGCTGAATTGGTTTCAGTAAATGTCACTACTACATAGTTTGTTATACATGATTTTTGAATCAATAGCTTCGTTTCGTATGGAGTATTGTCTTTTTTTGTGAATACAAGTATATAGACAACAATGTTTCATAAGAGCTAACGTATGAAAAAATATCGACCTATATGAGCATATCAGGGCATAAAAAATTATATATAGACATATCTGACCATATTAGAAAATTTTTTCACGGTAAATCGTTAGATGAAAAAAATCAACTTGAAAAATAATTTTGATACAAAATGCTTTCAACTGATGCTTGCTTGTAAATAATTTAATTATAAAATCAATACAAAAATATTGTAAGTTAAAATCAAAATTAAAATTGTTTCAAATTTCAAACTCTTTGTTAAACATTGAAGAGTCATTCAAAGAACGTAAGGCTCATCAGGGCGTATATAATTAATTAGTTTTTATGATCACAAAATAAAAATAGAATTATTTTTATAATAGTTAACTTTGTTTGCAGAATAAATAAACTTTTGATGTATATCTCCATAAACTCGGTTTATTTCCGCAAAGAGTATTCGCTTTAGCTTATTCAATCAGGAGATCGTGAACCGAAATTATGTCAATATACACAAGCATGGTAAACAAACAAACTTAGACCTTATATTCGTAAAAAAAAAAAAAAAAAAAAAAAAAAAAAAAAAAAAAAGTAAGAAACGCTTGTATTCAAAACATCGGCATCTGTTGAATAAACGGCTCCTGAAAGTATATTCTGACTAAATGACAATGAATAATTTTGCTTTTTTTTATTTTCACCGCAGGAAGTTTAAGCCATTTAACTCTAGCTTGTACTATAACTTCTTTTTGTCTCTTATCACAATGCTTGAAAATATTTTGTTCGGGTACTTGAAGTTTCAATGCTTGAATAGTCAGTGAAGTGAACTAATTTCAAACCAATGCACAGACAACCAAAATTGTTTGACTGTAATTGCAGGTTAGTTCACAAAATTGTAGTTCAACTACTACTGTTTCAATATAGTAAACCACACACTGAAAAAAAAAGTTTTTTCCACCCACACGGAAAAAACAACAACTCACTGGGTGGTATTCATAGTAAAAAAAATTTCAAACTATAGTCAATATCCTTTAAAGTATACTCGGTTAAATAGGAAACTTCACGGAGTACAGTTAAAAACTCATGCAGTATACTTTAAAAGATATTGACTATAGTTTGAAATTTTTTTCACTATGAATACCACGGAGTATACTTTATGAGTATGTACAGTAAGTTATTGTTCTTTCCGTGCAGAATACAAAATATTTTTATCTTAGCTTTTTTTATATCTAATATACGTTTCTTAACATAAAAAAATTGGTATTTTTCGCTTGAGAATACCTAAGTTTTTTCTGGAGCTAAAACTTTATGCCGCGTTACCATAGCAACCGCAGCAGTGGCGCCACCAATTCTCTGATTTCCCTCCATTTTCACAGTCCTGGCGTGTTTGTTTACATCATTAAAAAGTTGTACTAATTTTTTATTTACTAAACAATTACTTAGCTGTATTACAACTGATATTATAATTTGGGTGGATTCTTGGATACGAAAAAAGTTGCTTGAATGGGATTTACCCTCTCTGCAACAAATCTTTAAAGGTAATTGTTTTTCTAATTAAATTGATGTTTCAAAGAGCTATTCTTAAAATAGAATAAAAATAGAAATCAAGCCGTTGAAGGTAATTAAAAATTCAATTTTTTAATAATTATTTTAATTTTTTTTTTCAATTTATATATAATTGATAAATTAATAATTATTAATTTATTAATTATTATAAAAAAGGTTCACCGTATTATAAACACACCATTAGCATCTGTGTCAAATGAGGTTCAAAGTCGGTCATATTTTTATTTTGGTATTTTACTGAGGAAGAAACCGAGTTTTTTAAAAATCACTATACCTTTTAGTGTAGGGAAAAATCTTTGGTATTCTCCACACAGGTATACCAGTTTTTTTTTTTTCAGTGGATATTTTTTTTATTTATAAAAATTGAATACTAATTATTACCGTAATCGTCTAAAACCTGCAAATTAATATTAGCTTATTAATTTTTTTTAATTACTTGAAAATACATGGATGGAAAAAAAATTATTTGTTAATTTTCTGTTAAATCGAGATAGTAAGAATAACTGAAAAGCAAACTTAAGTGATTTGAAAATTAGATGTACAACAAATATCGAGTCATTTTTTTATACTACAGCAAACGAACGTTGATGAAATTGATGCAGAAGTCTAGGAAATCTATTCATTTTCTTGAACCGAAAAAGAAAAATTTTTACTCGAATTAAAACATAATAGATTTACTTCGAATATAGTTAAGAAGCTTATCAATAAAATGAAGTTAAGATGGTCTATTGTAGACCGGATATTACGAAAGATGGACGAATACAATTGTTAAATTAGAACATATGTGTTCCAATCTCAGCCTGATGGAAGATCAAAGAATATAGAAAGATTTTTATGTCAGCCTGATACACGGAGAAAAAAATATCGTTAAAATGACTATCCAACGTATCCTCAAATGACGTTTCTTTAAAATAACAATCCAGATTTCTGATTTAAGGATTCATTTGTTTCCCGTAAGCATACAGAGAATATCTCTTGTAAATAAATGTAGTTTCGTTAAAACAGGCAACTGTTTCGTTAATGTAAGGATCTGTATGGTTGAGACAACTAAATTTTATGCTTAAAATAATGATATAGATCGTCATTTTGACTATTTGCTGTTTAGCTGAATTGGCTGTACAGAATATCTCTAAGAAAAATGAGTATACGGCGTATAGTCAGAATAACGATACATACCCTCATTCTGACGATATTTTTTTCTCCGTGTAGGTAAGATCCGAAATGTTGAGCTATTGACCAGTACATTAGCATTAGTAGCTAAATCAGTATATTGAGGTTTCAATCAATGCTTAATTGCTATGACAAGACCACATTCAAGTCAAGGAAAGATCACAGGATATCGGAAAATTTTTATCAGTTTGATGATCAAAGCTATGATATGGAACTGTTATGTAATATAGACACTGTATAGTATACAGCTTTGGAACCTTTGTCGTTAATATAATTATTGAAACACATTAGTAGTTATTGATACGTTGTAACACTTTAGTGTATTAATAACTATACCTATCATTTGTGACAATTGTATTAGTATAAGCTTGACGTTTGCTTTTTACTCAACTGTTCGGGACGTTATCAAATAGTTAACCGAATACAAGTAACAGATCCTTAGCAATAAAGAATATAGTGCAATGATATAAAAGTTTGAAGATCTCTTAAAAAAGGATAAGCTGACAATAGTGACACAAAAAATTTTTAAATTATCAACTTCTCTAAACCATGCTGTGAAAGCATGCTCGTTTCTCCGTTTGAGAAAGTAATGACCACTCAGAATAATCGAGAAAAATAATCGTCACGAACTTATAAACAACAATAAAAGGTTTAAAGCCAATGCATAACAATATGACTACATAAAATACTTTTAACTATTTTAAAATCATTAGGCCAGTTTTAATAAAATTATTTTTAATGTTGTTGACAAATATTTTGTTAAAAAAATGAAAATATGTATATATACATATAAAAAAAAATTTAACCCCGTACAAAAAAAAATTTGGTTCCGGATGAATTTCCGGATGAACTTCAGATTGTGAAACAAATATGAATTTCATCATGAAAGTCAGCTGGAATTCCAGATGAATTTCATGATGAATTTGAAACAAATAGTATATGAAACTTAATTATTTTAATTTGTGAAATAATATTCGGAGACAGTTATATTGGAATTTTTAGCTTTATTTACACTGGTTCAACATTTGCAATTCTATAACGTCTATTCGGATAAAATTTTTGGAGTA